GAAATTTTTTTGATCCATTTATTTTCTAAATGACCCATAAAAATACCCAGCCACTATAAACTAATTATGTAACAGACCAACCAATTTCCGTATTACGAGTTGCTTTTTGTTAGTAAGTATTATTGCTATTATTAGTGTATTGTTGTTAAAATATAAATTATTTTTATTACTGTTGTTGTGTAATTATAGTATAACTTTTTATAATTACTACTATTATTAATATCTATAATTACTACTATTATTGATATTGTATTGATATATTGATATATTTATTGTTGTTATTGTCACTATTTTTAATATTATTGAATTTGACAGGTGTTTACTTATTATTAGTACTCATCACTATTTGTAAATATCCATGATGTAAAAACTTTTATTTACAAATATAATTGATTTGATTTGAGATTGCAACAAACAAAAATTAGTAATTGAACTTGTAGAGGAAAAAAATTTACATTAAAAAAAAATTCAAACTTTGAAATAAAAAGCATAAGAACTAAATTAAACGTAAACAAACAAATCAATATAATTGCTGAATCAGAAGAGTTCGTTGTGCTTCTGATTCGAAAATTATTATATAATAAGTGCAATAAAACCATTTTAATATAATAACATGGTTGCTCAGAGCTTGCATAAGCATTTCAAAATTAAATTTTCTTTCATAAAAGTTTAAATTAGTTTTTGATTATTATCTAAGTGGGGGGGGGGGGGGGTCTTTATTTTTTGCGTCCTTTAACTTTGAAATTTTTTTGTTTTTGTTTTAAAAAACATTCATTGTACAAGTGTCACAACCCGTCTAAAAATTAAAAACATTAGAAAGTGTTTATACACTGGTGGAAAATTTTATTTCAAAATTATCTGTGTTTTGGAACTTTTATAATTTTGAATGAAAAAAACAACTAAAACCAACATAAATTATTTTTATAACACAAACTAAACTAAAATCTATGAACTGAACCTATAGTATATAAAGTTTAAAGGATGGTTATAATGAAACATATTATTATGACAAATTATGACTTATTTCTCAAAAGGTTTTGAAAAGTCTTTTGAATAATCTAAAATTTAATAAATTGTTGCTAAAAAAAACATAATTACAATTTTCTTTTTCACAAAAAGCTGTCATTAATGAATAAAATAACTATTAACTAAGAATATGATTATATAACTTGTATATAAGAAAGAAGTTTACAAACTCGTGAATGAGTGTTTACCAATAATTCCATTCATGCAGCATTTAATGTTGTTTTATTTTATTCATTTAATACTGTACACACTAAAAAAACTAACGGCATTATAACAGCATTTATATACGCAGATTCTTTAATGCTGTTATTTTCGCTGTTATATTCGCGGATTGGAAGAAATTATTGTAGACCAAACAATTTTGGCGTTATAATGGTGTTATATTTGCTGTTTTGTTATGCTGTTATGTTATGGTGTTATATTTAAAGACGTTTTGTCATATTTAAATAAGAAGTTTAGAAAGTTTCTAAAGCGCTAGCACAAGGTGGTAAAAGTAAAAAAAAAATGAAAGCAATTAAAGTTGTATTTAAAGAAAATGCTGAAATAGTTATTGCCAGCAGCAGTAATTTTTCGGATTTTTGTGCAGCTGGTAGGTTTATTTTATTGTATTGAGCACAACAGTCATCTCATGAGATATTGTGAAAATTTATTAAAATTTAATCATTTTATTTCATTGTATCATTAAAGATTTTTAATTTAAACTAAAAATTATCCTTAGAATATGTTCATGCATCATACTAACATTTTAATTTAATGTTATTTGTTATGTAAAATTTAGATTCGAAATGGTACTATAGTAGTAACATCAAATCAAACACACTTGACTTGCTTTTATAATAACATGTTAAGATGTTATTATAAAGTTAAGTGTCCTTTTATCATTTCAAATTAAAATCTAAAAATACATTGTAACTTTTTTAAAATTGTTAAAATAAAATTATAGCACCAAAAAATTAATCATTTCTTTTTTAGTATGATAATTTGAATTCAAATATCATATCAATAATTCAAATATCATGCTAAAAAAAAAAAAAAAATTGTCAATGATGTTGAGCTATGTTTACTTTTTCTCAGGTGAATCTCTTTCTGCAATGCAATAGGAGGTTTTAAAGAAGGTTTTAGTGAAAAGACATTGCGCTGTTGCAAAAGTTGTAACTCAACCAGAAAACAAATGAAAGATTTTTCTAACCATGAAGAATGCAGTATTCGTAACGCTCCTGAACATATGATACGTTTGACTGAGCTCAACTCTGGTTTAAGCAAAGCTGATAAATCAAAATGGTCTAAATACTATGGCATTGTTTCAAAAAGTATACTGTCAAACATTCCGGGATTCGACGTGACAAAACAGCTTTTATTTGATCCTATGCATGATTTGTTGGAAGGTCTCATTTTTCAGTTAGTTATTTTTGCCGTATGCCATTCAGAACAATTTTTTCACTTTAAATGAAATAAATGATTGGCTGCAAGGATTTAGCTATGCTAATGGTATTGAAAAGCCTAATATGATCCATACCTCAATGCAGATTTGTGGTAGTTTTGGCAGTGGTCAAACTTTGACACTTTCATATCATTTTTTATCTTAGAGCACATGGGTCAAACCAATGTCCATTTCATTTGTTTGTCAAAACTTATTCAGGTACTTCAACTGTGTTTATCTCCTATTGTTTATCTCCTTATTAACTGTGTTTATCTATTATATTATCTCCTGTTGTTACTCCTCTTTTTTTATCGGGTTTAAAAACTTTAATTCAAGATCATCATCGCTTATTTTTGTATTTGTATCCTGATAAATTCATCCCAAAGTTACATTTTCTTATCCACTACCCTGCTCAAGCTGAACAGTTTGGGCCTCTACTAGAACATATGTGTATGGCTTATGAAAGAAAACATCAGGTTGTAAAGAATTTTCGTCACTTCAATTTCAAGAACATTCCCTATTCAGCATGTAAAACGATGATCATTAATACCACAAGCAATTTTTTTAATGCAGCAGGGGAAAGACGTGGTGATGTATATGGACAAATGGACGAGTTGAAGTTTAAAAAAGGATCTGTTATTTCTGTTAAAGTAAATGGCATAATTTACAAGATTGGTGATATTACTTCATGCTTACAAGAAGAAAAGTTGATATTTTACAACGTCCTTTCCATATCATCAGAAAATGACAAGCGTGCTTTTAAATGCTCTAAACTTATAGTACAAGCCCACTCATCATACTTGATATGTTGTGAATCTTCTGAAAAAGTTGTCATTTATCCAGATACTTTGATATTTCCTTGGTGCGTCGTCCAATATTATAATTCTTCAAGTTCTGTAAATGGCAGAATCAATATTTTTCCTTTAGCAGTGCCAAATCTAAATTTTTTTGATATAGTCATATGAGTTTACCTTTTAATGGACATATTAATTTGTTAATTTTTGTAGAATAATTTTTTAGATTTTACAGCAGAAACACGTTTAAAAATATGAAAACATTCTTCAAATAAATGTTCAAAGGAAATTCAGATTTAAATATATATATATATATTTTACTCTTTCTTGTATGTTCAGAAAAATTGAAATATCAAAATCTATTATTATACATTTGTAGTACTCTAGTACTCTATTTTATTTTTTGACTATCTTTATAAATTTTGGCAAATTTGTCTTGTCTTTGAGATGACACAACCAGAGCTGTCGAGAGCCTTGGCGCCGCCCGGGACAAAATTCCTGAACAACACCCCATATTTCTGTCTCTTCATGCTATCAGTAAAAGACTTTTTTTTTAGGTCCCTTATATTTTTTGCGCCCCTAGAACATCTGCCGCCTGGGACAAACTGCCCCTTTGTCCCCCCCTCTCTTGGCGACACTGGACACCACACAATAAATACATTTTGCAATAATAAATCACTAATAATGTTTTTAAAAAGAAATGAACATTTTCTAACATGATTCTTTCATACATAAGACAATGTAAAACTTGGAACATTTGATTACAAATTATGTACGACAACAAGGACATTCATAAGACTAGTATATTTTTTATACGCTAAAGCTAACTTGATGCATAGAAAATGTTTCTACACCTAATTATAAACAATGTCTTTTTATTTATTGCTTGTAATAAGGCCTGGTTTTAAATATGCCACTATGAAACACCTAAAAGTTTAAATTTTAAAAACCGTTTGAACAATTGCCCACTGGGATTCAGCTAATTATCACACATTTTGCTATAATACTTATTATGTCAGACATTTTACTGTGTTAATATTTTTTTCAGATTTCCACAGTCCCTCTTGATTCAGATGAAGTTGCTTGCCTGAGGACTTTTTTGAGTACATCTTCTTTAAACTTTTTAAACAATGTCTTGACAAATGACATATCGAAAAAGTACCCTTAAGAGTACATAAATACCTAATCCATAGTTTTGAAAAAAAAATTCTTCTAGGATTCACTCCTAAGACAGGTTTCAAACATAATTAGGCAACAACGTTGGGCTAAAAGTCATCAAACTTCAAATGGAACAGCAATAAAACAATTTCAACAGGTTTCAAAACCTAAAAAGTCTCCATATATTATGGATTCAATATCTAGTTGAGTTTATATTTTTAGTTTATTTATTAACTTAATTTGGACAGCAATATGATTAGCAATACTTTAAATTAGTAAGTGATTTGAGTTGATATTTGACCGGTCAGGTTTGATAAAACATAGCCAGGGCTGCATTTATATTGATAAATACTATAAGTATATTATTTTTAGGTAAAATTTATGTTGAGCTCCAAAAGACTTCAGGGAAAAAGGAGGGGGGGGGGGAGGAGCTTGGAGAGGAGGAGCTTGGAGAGGACATTTGAGCTTGAAAAAGATCTCTCCTCTAATACAGCTTAAGGTCACTTACTACTTGAAATATTTTACTAATTATTATACACTTTTTTTTACTAATTATTTTTTTTTACAATCAAAAATACATTACAAATAAAGTTGTTTAATGTATAATATATAAAGTAATTTTATAAAGTGTGTTATACAAACCTTAGCACCATGCATCATAGCATGTTATTTTATACAATTTTAAAATAAATTTTTTTTAGTTGGCCAAGTGATTATGTGCACCATTGTTTGTTTTAGAATTTACGGTATTTTAATTTTTATATTTTTCAGAATGAACTACTAAAATCAAAACCATCTATCAATGTTCTTGCAATTTTGAATAGAAATCTTTTTCAACCAAAAATATATGAAAAACTCCCGATTCGATTGTCAATGGCTCCCTGTTTAATAATTGCTGAGTTTAAACGCCTTTACCCACACTATAGTTTTATAGAAGAATCATGTTCATTTTTTATTACTAAAGCATTTGCAGGATCTTCTAATCACCTTGAAAGTTTGCTTGTTTTACAATGTAAATTAGGTTCCAAGAAAGCAAAGGATTTGTTGTTTAAGAAATCTGAAGTAAGTAAAATGAAATATTTTATGGTTTTATTCAATTCTTTTTAATGATTTCATATAATGAAGTTATAAAAATGTCTACTTTTTTTTGCATTTATATATCTAGCTAATCTAGAATTTATTTGTTTATTACTAATATTTATTGATGCTGTACATTTCAGTATAAACTTAGGATAAACACATTTATAATAAGGGGTCGTCCATAAAGTATGTATGCCAAAAATTTTGAAGTCTGACCCTCCCCCTGTTGCCATGCACACTTTCAAGATCGTCTCCCCCCTAAATAGTACGTATGTTTTTGAAGTACCTCCCCCCCCCCCCCCCTACTAAAAATTAAAAATAGTAATTGGAGTGAGATTTGTTTAAAGTATGATATAAAATTAGGTTTGACAATAAATCTAAGGATACTTTGAGGTGCCAAATAAATACATCTGCTCGTTTATTTATAATGTAATTTAATGTAATATTATGCTATTATCTACACAGGCGAATCCATAGGGTGGGGGTGATGGGACAATCACCCTCCATAGTTAGTTAAGCTGTCTAGATAAAATTTTAATTTTAATATTATGTTGTGTAAATTTTAAACTGTGATTGCTAGGGTAAAAATCATTAAACCTGGAAATCGCTCTCCCTCAGGGGCGCAGAAAGATTCCAGAACCTTAGTTTCAGAACCCCAATGTTTTCAAAATCCCATTTTGCAATAGGGGTTCCAGAACCAGTTCTCTGGAACCCCTTACAGCCAAAGTTCCAGAACCCCCCGGGGTTCTAGAATTACAGTCAGAGTTCCAGAACCCCCCAGGGTTCTAGAACCCTGAATAAAGGTCGGAGTTCTAATCCCTGCTTTAAAACTATTTGGAAAAAACTTTAATTAAATTAAATTTCCGGTAGTTTTTATAGTTAAAATTTGATTTCTTTAAGTCTGACAATCTGGTCGATGAGTTGAAGATATCTGCAAAGTACGGTCCACAAGTTCTTTTCAACTCAACACAATATGGCGTTCGCAGTAGATCAGGATGCGAAATGATTAGCAAAGATTTACAGACAATTAAAGAGGTTTTATGCGTTATTGTTAGCATTTACTATTTGTTAGATCTATCGTATCCATCTTCTTTTTCACAACTGATAGGCCTTTTCTAGGAGATGTTGCTAAATGAAAGCTTTGAAAAAAAATCAAAGAAGACTTTCTGTTACATTAAACAGTTAACTTGATTACTAGTTATTAACTTTTTTATTTTATAAATTGTTTTATTTTATATTTTTAATTTGTTGTTATAACAACAATAAGTATACTTATTGTTGTTACTTATAATTTTATATTTAAGTAGTTGCTTTAACAAAAAAAGTTGGAAAATAAAAATTTCTTTGAAATAATAAAAATAATAAACTGATTTTGTAAAGTTTTGATAATGTATCTTTTGACATATATTTAAGAATGTAAAAACTAATCCTTGGTTTAAGTAGTTACATAAATTACCAGATTTATTAGTAGATCATTGAAATGGTTTATGGTGTTTTATTTACAATTATGTTGAAATGAATTTATTTCGTCATTGTATATATTAAAAATATTTTATAGTATGTATTTTATGCATTACTGTAATAATAGCATTGAAAGATTGTTAAATACATCAGATAATTGGTATTAATTATATAATGTAGTGTATAAATGATTTAGGTTTTACTTGAATAAAAACAAAACATGTAAAAAAAAAATAAAATAAAATAAATATATATATATATATATATATATATATATATATATATATATATATATATATATATATATATATATACTATAGCAGCCAAAAGTCATGGTTACAGTGGTTTTTAACTACAGTTTTACCAGTTTTAATTGAAAACAACTTCCATAGATTGATATTTATTACCTAAAACATCAAAGATTGACAAGAATAACAAAATAAATTCATATTTACATAAAATTCACACAAAATTGTAATATTTAGTGTGTCCACCATGCACGCGAAGGCAGGCTCTAATACGGCGCGGCATTGATTCTATCAGATTTCGAATCTGAGTAACTGAAATCTGCGACCACGCTACTTCAAGCAACTGCCAAAGCTGGTCAAAAGAGCTTGGTTTTGAATCCTGCACCTTTCTGAAGAGGATTTCCCACATATGTTCTATAGGGTTGAGGTCTGGGCTTTGAGCAGGCCAGTCCATCACCTGTACATTCTCATGCCTCAAAAAATCAGACACTGTCATCGCCTTATGACAAGGTGCATTGTCATGTTGAAATACAAACCTCCTGTTCGCACCAAAAATGGTTCTAGCAGAAGGCAGCATATGATTTTTGAGGATGTTAAGGTACTCGATCTGATTTACAGTACCGTTACAGCGGTACAACTGCCCTACTCTCGACCAAGACATGCAACCCCATACCATGAGGGAACCCCCTCCATGCTTTACTGTTGGAGCAATGCAGTCTTTGTGATACTTCTCACCTATTCTCCTCCTAACCAAGACTCGCCTTGCTCCACAGAAAAGCTGAAAGGTGCTCTCATCGCTCCAAAGCACCTTCTTCCAGTCTTCGGCAGTCCAGTCCTTATGCTCCTTCGCAAATCGCAGTCTCTTCAACTTATTAGCCTTAGATAAGAGAGGCTTCTTGGCTGCAACTCTGCCATGCAGACCTGCATTTTTCAGTCTGCGTCGTATGGTACTCGCACCTGTAACGACCCCCATCTCAGTTTGCAATCGAGCGCGCAGGTCAACGGCTGTCTGGCGACGATTCTCGAGACACATCCGAATCAGTGCTCGGTCCATCCTCGGTGTGGTTTTCTTCGGTCGCCCAGACCTTGGTAAATCTCCGACACTACCCGTCTGTCTCATCTTCTTTACTATTCTAGCAACAGTATTTACACCTATGCCCATCTCTTTGGCGATCACCCGATAAGATTTGCCTTCTTCTGCCTTTACGAAGGCTGCCATTCTGTCCTGAATGCTCAGCTTGTTGTATTGACTCATGGCTATTCAGCAAAATCTATAAAAATAATTAATACTTTAGTCACTTAAATCATAGTATAAACAATTATAACAGTAAGACAAACATTTCTGCAGTGTTTTAAACAGGTTTAGGTAATGTTCAATATTTTATTATTATTTTTAAAATAATTTTCACTATTTATTCAGAAATATTCTTCTAAATCAATACTTAATGTCTAAAAAATTACCACATCATCTCTATTATCACTCATTCATTAAAAAATTACTATCTACTATTTCTACAACTGTTTGTTTGCAAAATACATTATGTAATAAATAGTTACAATATTGTTTCTTACCTTTGTGTAAATCTAAAATTTTGTTTTTATATAGAATGCTCAAACTGTTATATATAAATCTGCAATGAATTAATAAAACTCTATTTTTATCGGTTTGTCAATGTAAACAACAGTGTTCTATTAATAGCACATTCACGATGACATGTTCTGGGCATACTAAAAGCCTAAATAAATGACTACATGACAAGAATTGTATTAAACTCTAAAATAAAACTGCTGTAACCATGACTTTTGGCTGCTATAGTATATATATATATATATATATATATATATATATATATATATATATATATATATATATATATATATATAACAGCATATTATGCTGTTAGCTTGGTTTTCGAATATAACACCAAATATAACGTCATTGGATAACGATATAACAGCATTTTGCTGTTATTTAAATTTAAATAACAGCATTTTGCTGTTATTTTTACTGTTATTTAAATAAATATAACAGCATTTTTGAAAAAATTAACAGCATAATAACACCATAATGACACAAAATAACGCCATTTATGCTGTAATATCATATCCCAATGCTGTTATATTTTTGTTAAATATAACAGCATAATTTTTTGGTGTGTAATACATGCAAATCCTGTTACAAAATGAATGTGGGCATATTAAAATATTTTTAACAAAGCTATTATTCTAATTTAAAACTTGCAAATTTTTCTAATTTAAAATTTAATACTTGCTGGGTTTTTTTTCTATCTATAAGTGAGTTTTTTTTCTACCTATAAGTGTCATGTGAAATATATGTGAATTTCTCAATTTTTTTCTCTTTAGAATTCTATTATTCTCAATAATTCTCAATATTCAGCAACTAAATTTTGCGTTAAACTCATGAGAGAAAATAGTATAATACCTTTTGCTTTTCTGAGATTTTCTTATCCATAAAAAGTCCAATAATAAAATCAAAATATTTGATTTAAAATAATAAAAAAAAAGATACAGAATCTAGAGTCCAAGGAGTCTATCATTTTTGATTTTGGAGTCCAAAATCCTAAAAAAAATTTATGGAAATCCACAGCCCTGAAACATATTCTTCTTGCTCTGGACTAAAAAAAGAATTTTTTGTAACGATTAGAATTAAAAATGCATTAAAAAAACTTGTATATATATACAAAAAACTTGTATATATATATATATATATATATATATATATATATATATATATATATATATATATATATATATATATATATATATATATATATATATATATATATATATATATATATATATATATATATATATATATATATTGTATTTGCCGATTTTGGTTGGCTGATTTTTGAATGGTTGGCACTGCCCTAATATTCTTTTACTTTTAAAAAGAAAGTTTTTCTTTTAAAATTAAAGTTTTTTAAACAAAGAAGAAAATGAAAAATAATGCAAAAAAAAAAGTATTTTTTTTACTGTGATAAATACTCTTCATTTTAGATTTTTAGAGTGATTTTTACCATTATTTGTTTCATGCTATTCACAATCATCAGGTAAAGTATAAGGTTTTTTTTGTTTGTTTTGCTTTCTGTTAATAATATTTTCATTCAAAAAAGAAACTATGTAACACTATTGTTATGCATGCCTGAATTTTTGTGACTGCATTTAGAAATTAGCTCAAGTTTTTCAAGAGCAAGCTTGTTGTTAAGCTCAAAAAAAAAAAAACAGCTTGTTGTTAAGCTCAAAAAAAAAAAAAAAAAAAAGCTCATTGGCATTTTTATAATGTAAAATGATTAGCTTCTTATACAGAGAATTTTGTTATTGTGATTTTATAGACAGGGGCATTTTTTTGGATGAAACATTATAACTTGAGTGTTTCTTTAAACTTTTTTTTGTTTCCCATAAGTTTTTTGAGAGGGTAGTTGCATTTGAAAGTTTTTAAATGATTGTTTATGATTTGCTCTCTTTTTTCACACGGCCTCAGTCAAACAAATGTATGCTTCACCGGGTGTGCCATATGTGTCATATTGGGATTTAGAAATTATATATGTTATTATACAACTTTTGTTTATGTTGTATATATTATACGCTTTTGTTGTATGGTGGATTAAACCAAATTATATATATATTTTTTAGAGAGTTCCTTTTTTTTGTTTGTAGAGAGTTCCCTTTGTTTTGTTTTGTTTTTTGATTGTAATTTAGTTTAGAGTTTTTAAAACCATTTTGATTTATTGCTTGCTCTTGCACTACTTTTGATAACATAATAAATATTCAGCTTTTACTTTCAGTTTTTCCATTTGTCTAATCTTAATTTTACTTTTGTGTGTTTAAGTGTATATTTTGCTGAAAATACTGACTTTTTTTTAAATATATTAATATTTTCCACCTATGAAATTGCGAGATTTATTAGGTGGCAAGGTTTTTAATTTTGGATACTATATTTGTGGTCTGATAACTTAATGAACACTGCTGATTCAGCAATTATGTTGATTTGTTTGTTTATATTTAATTTAGTTGTTATACTTTTCGCTTCAAGGTTTAAAGAATTTTTGAGTTATTTAGGAGTTTTTTTTTGTATGTTTGTGTAATGTTGATAAATGGGTTAGTTTGGGAACAGTTGGTAAATGTTGTTAGTTTTGTCAACAAAAATTAGGATGTTGGGGTTTCATTTAATTTTTGGAACATTGTTCTTTACTTTGTTCCAGAATAGGCTCAGCACTTTATTAAACTTTATTGATTAGGTGGTGCGCTTTTTGTTTTCAAACCAAAATTTGACATTTTTTGATTTTTGATATTTCATATGACACTTTCAGCCATTTCATGGCAAACTCTAAACTTACTATAGCATACTTATGTTCATGCTTATATAGAATGTTTAAAAAAAAAATTTCAACGATTAAAATCTTAAAACAAAAATACCCGAAAAAACCCCCTCCTGCCATCAATGAGTTAATATAATATTTATTTTTACTCAATTTTTTACACTCAAATTTTTCATTCAGATCAAGCTTTACTTAATCGAGTAAATCTTGCATTAAAAGATATTTTTGAAAGGTTTACTGCATTTACATATTCTGAAAACTTCTTACTAAAGTAACATTGTCATTAAGAATATTCACCAAAACATTTACAAGAATTAAAACTTGTATCAGAAGCTAGGGAAAAATCTGTTCCTAAACCAGCAAAATCATACAATACACATTGGGTCGATCATAAATGAAATGCAATGAAAAGCACTTTAAATAACTAGGGTAATTTAATTATATAAATTACTATGGCGCATAGTATTTTTCATAAAGAGCCTCATAGCCAAACAGATTCTCAGCCATCTAAACAAGCTGAATTGAAGGGTTTTGTACACATTTAGAAAAAAGTATCTCTTGTTTTTCATTTATCTCTTAGATATTTAGAAATTTAGATATTTTTGCACTGTTGAGACATTCAAGTATTGGCTTCAAGCAAGATTTCATGGTCTGGTAAAAGCTGTCCAGAGGGTGTAGCAATTTAATTGGACAATGGAAAAACTTGAATAGTTTGTGAACTTTCCTAAATAGTTCGTAATGCAACATTTCAATGAAGCAATCAACTTTAACTAATTAAAGGAAATTGATTGAAAGTCAAAAAAGATGGCCATTTTAATTATCAAAACGTTTTACAAAATTTCAATAAAACTAATGCATCAGTGCAAGAAATATATATTGATACAATGAATTATATAACAACTATTACGGTTTTTCATTTCAAAGTTTCTCCATTATTCCATAATTTATTACACCAATTAGACATATCTTTTTAGCTGTTGAAATCTAATAGTACATTTGGTGATAAAGAAATAGTAGAAGTAATTACACATTTAAAAGACTTCCTAAAAAATGGGGGGGGGGGGGGTAACATTGGTAAATTTTTATAAAGTGGATTGTTTTAAAAAGTTACATTTTCCCAATGTTTAAAAATTCCTTTTTGTGTTTTATTTAAACTATTCGAATTACTTGAAAATGTGGAAAAAATTATTATTGCAGAATGCAGTAAAGAATGAATGTGTGTTTAGATAACATGTCTGACATTAAACTAAAATAGCCTGTTGCCGGGGGATTCAATACATACATCAACTATTTTATAGCCTGCTGGAAGAATAGTGCCACTACATTGACTGAAAGTTTGAATGTAGCAACAATCTTTTCTTTCATTATTCTTTTTTTTCTTTCTGAAAAAACTGTACGCTATAAAGTTAAGTGAAACTAGTAAGCTGATCTATATATGGTATAGTAGATAAAATATATAGCATATATAGTAGATAAAATATATAGCATATATAGTAGATAAATTATAGTGGATAGTATGTATAGATCAACAGTTATTTTCTTTTTGTTTTGCTGAAAACAAAAAGTAAAAAGCTGTTATTCCACAAAAACTTCTGTGACCAAGAGAACAACGTTTAAAAATTTGTGTTTAAGAGAAAATTTAACTCATATTGAATACTAAGCATTCTTCTAGAATATTCCTGAATTGCTAAAAGTGTCCAGAAGGTTAAACAATTTTTAATAATATCCAGAACTTGACGCAGATGCATTTTGCTATGTATATGTCCAATTTATAAAGACAAGACCGATATGTTAAATGTTAATATTATATCCAATATTAGGTGATTTGTGAAATTTCCTGCTTGCAAATTTGTATAAATAGTTATACGAGTTATATTAGAGGTTGGTACAAGTAAGAAAAAACATCATGAAGTTTGCTATCCCACAAATTTGACATCATCAGATGGACCACTTAACCAATTGCTACTTGTACATTGTTGATCACAAAATGCCTCAAATTATTAATCACAAATTAATAATTTGAGGCATTTTTATTGGTAAGACTTAGATCTAATTAGTTTGGTCTTCCAAAGGAAAGTAACCTTCCTTCAACTAAAAATGTTTTGTGAAATGTGAAAATTACAGTTTCACATTTTTAGTTGATGGAAGGTTACTTTCCTTTGGAAGACCAAACTAATTAGATCTAAGTCTTACCAATAAAAATGCTAAACTTCTGATATCCAGGCTTAAAAAGTGGAATTTGTTGAATAAAAGCAGAAAAACAGATCAGAGAGTGTCACCAAACATATTCCAACTTCTTCAGTCAAAAAAATGGGCTTTGTTTCTATAAAAAACTTATGTCTCCACTGCATATAAAGTTAAACTTTGTCAAGCAATTTATTGGAATTTTTTAGGTATCTACAAAATCTTTATCTGAAAATAAGACTAAGGTTAGACATAGTACCTACCTCTGACCATAGATCAAAAAGATATGTGACAAGTTTGCCAAGCACCTGAACAGGGCAGAGGGGAGTTTGGAACAGTTTTATAGCAGTTGTACATGGCGTCTGTGTAATCTTAAGACTAAAAATAATGTTGGTTTAGATTCTCATAAAAAATTATGACAAAATGGGATGTTGAAACTCCTGAATCTAGATAATCTACAGATTTCTGAAGCTTTTTGAGTGATTTTTTACTCTTATTCCACTCTATTCACTAAGCAATTGTTGATTTTTACCTGATCAAATGAATAAAAATAAGAAACTTTTTTTATTCTTCTAAACAAAAAAAAAAATTTTTTTATGTGTTGTAGTCATAAATTCAAAGTTTGTACTCAATATAATCATTCCTCCAGTCTTTAGACATAAGCAAATGAAATATAACACTTTGAATCCAAGGACAAAAATTTTGTTGCGTACTATGTTTTTTTATATTTTCTTTACTTGTAAAAACAATATAAATACTATATGTATACACTGAAAAAAACCAAAATTTACAATAAGATTCATTTAACTCTAATTATTTCATTTTAATCAGAAAATTTCTTTGGAAAAAATTTACCTCTAAGCAACGATCTTGCCATCTTCTAGCTAGTATGTGCAGCAAAGGTGGTCTGTATAGTAAACCTTTCATGGCATCTGGTAACATGCAGCAATGTAAAGCAGCTAACAAACTCCACCCAGCTTTCACTTCAGATCGTATACTAGACATAGATGTTTGTTGATTGCTTTCTTCATAAATGTAAAACGCGTTAATAAATTACAGAAAATATATTTAATCTGAATATTAAATTGAAAATAAAAAAACAAACAAAAATAAACAGCATTTATCAAAAAATAATAATATTATTAACTAATGTAATAATAATTATAAACTAATAATATTACAAAACATACAATGTCATTTTAAATAACATTGTTAACATAACCATAATTTAAATGAAACAAGTTCAGTGCAGAGCTACCTAAGACATGAGAGTGTTCAACTTTGTATTTTTTATTTAAAAAACATGCTCTACCCCTGCTGCATTACAGATGCAGCAAGGGTAGAAGGGGTGCCCAATTCAACAATATTAATTCAAAAAACAAATACCTCCTTTCATGGCAAAACTAACATAATTCATGCTCATCAGAGTGTTTGTGACGGAAACTAAGGAAACCAAGTGTTGAGTTGTTAAAGATGACGACAATTGCCAATGTGCATTGAATATTGTTTTTTGTAATTCATCATCTACAAGATGATAGTTCTGGAAAAAATAAGATAAAAAACAAAAAGCTCTTCCAAATATGAAATCATAAGAACTACTTATCGCTTTTTATAGTTAAAATTTTATAGTGTTATTTATAAAACTAAAAAAAATTTATAGTGTTATTTATAAAACTAAAAAAAATTTATAGTGTTATTTTTAAAACTAAAAAAAATTTATAGTGTTATTTATAAAACTAAAAAAAATTTATAGTGTTATTTAGAGGTTGAAGATTAACTTTATTTTTCAATAAAACTAAAAAAAATTAAACTAGATACCTGATCAGGATTTAAATCAGCATCAAAAGATGTTGCTATATAGTTTTCCTCACCACTTATATACCAACCAGGAAACATAAGCGCTAGCCTTCCTCTAGTTAAAAGTCCAAATGAAAGTGCTTTTACTGGTTTTAAGATTCCTAATTTTTGAATGCACACTGAGTCTAAACCTTGATCAAGGCCCCAACTGTGACAACATGATAAAAGTAGTTGTGCAACTTCATATGGAACAGAATATGATTGTTCCATTCCTGAAACTTGGATATCAACATTATGATGACGCTTCGGATTAGCAGGAAAATCAGATTTTTTATAAAAATCTGCTTCATCTGAAAGAAGTTGCTTAATAAGAGCTTCTGGATCTAATAAGATAACATGTATTTCTGGGTCATTGACGCAAGCTTGTAGAGCACAAACTCGCATCGGAGGTAAAACGAGTGGAGTATTACGGTTTTCACCTTCTAAAAAAATCAAACCTTTTAAAATACAGAAAACAGACTAATAAGAAAACTTTTTAAAAACCTAAATAGAAAAAATATGTATTTCTGATTAAGCAAGTAAAGAGTAAGCAAAAAAATAGTTGAGTAAGCAAGAAAATGATACTTATTTAGATTTTCCTTTTCAATAGTCAATAGACTGATTTTGGACCAGCTTTTGGATAAAAGAAAAAGTTGTGCAGAATTTGAAAAGTATTTATAATCAGTCAAGAAATTTTAAAATTGTTTTGTTTCTTGTTTAAAAAAAGCTTTCACTGTTTACTAATTTCTCAAAACTTTGCCGCAAACCAAAACTTTTTTTTCAAAAATTTCCAATCCTTTAATTATTATATGATATTATACAATTAGAAATAAATTATAACAAAAAATATCACTGACTTAAACTCTGAGTTTGATGGTGTTTAAATGAACCAGTTACATGATGGTGTAAAGAAGCCATTCTGCTTTTCATGCGCTTAACCATAGCTGGTGCTTTTAAATCAATGTGAATTCTGTTAGTCATTTTTGTTAAATGTTGATGCAAATGAAACTTTCTTTGATGTTCACGAACAGCTGCAGATGGCGCAGAGATTTCTTCATCACATGATTCCAGGATCTCATAGGCTAAAGGGCCAGCAGCACAACGATCAAGATGTCCTGAAAGTATGTAATTCATTTTCAATGCTATTAAAACTATGGTGGACACAAGTCCTTATTGTTGTTTTCTAAGAAAACTTAAAAGTTGAAAAAAATATTTATAAATTAAATAATACTATAACTATAACACTATGTATATTGTGTAAAAAATGTAAAATGTAAAAGAGCATTTTTAAACACGCAAGTGTAAAATTTAAAAGCAATTTTCAAAATAAGTTTTTTGACCTTGAATAGTTTTCTAAGAAAACGTTTAAATTGTACATTTTGTAACATTAATAACGATGCACTCACATTAAACTTCTAAATGCAATAAATCTATATTACTTGCAAGATTATAGTTAAATTTTGCAAATATGCATAAATGTGATTTTAGAACTGATAAAATTGGCAAATACTTTAGTGAAAGAACTTAATGTACATATATGCCTATGTTTTAAAGAATGTGAGCATGTATTATATAACTAAAGAAGAACATTAAACTTTATCTTTTTTCAAAAATAGACATATCCCAAGTATCAAATAACTCAAGAGACACAAAAGAAGTGGTTAAAAGCTTAAACACACTATAACTTAAATTTCAAAAATTTGGCTTAAATCAAGTGTTATGGATATCAACCAAGATGCATCTTAACAAATGCATAATCAAGTTGTTATTCCCATTCATTTAAGAAGATCACCACAATAATAAATATATACTTTGACCTGATATAGCCTCATCAAACTATTTACAAAGTTACAGATTAGTAACAAGCACAAATGATGCAAATAGTCATCCAAATATCTTGAATCAAGCAAACATGCCTGAAATCAGTTTGATTTAGTATTAAGTACAAATTACAAAGATGGCTGCACTGCTGATAACATTTATCATCTATTAGCTAAAATCAGGTATTGTCTGAAATGTGATGAAAATTAATATATTAAACAAAGAGTAAATAGATAAACTTGTGGAGTTTATGTTGTAAGTTAGTGGAGCTTATGTTTTTGTTTTTTTTTAAAACATCTTCACTTCCATCAAAGCTGCAAGCACTATTAGAGTTGGAAGATTTTGGAAGAGAAAAGATGAAGTTTATAAAGCAAGATAACATTAACAGACAACTTGAAATATTGTAAATTATATGAAACAAGAAAACAATACAAAGGAGGTGAATTCCAAAGAACTAATGTTTGAGGAAAAAAGCTAGACCAATAAGAATTTTTGATGCACTTTGAAACAGTCACAATAAAAGGAAAAGATTTAATTGAATGACAAGTAAAATAAGAATGAATTATTGTGGCAAATGATGGCAAAACAGATATTAGTTCTTTAGAACAGTGCTCATTATAGTAGTTATAGAAAAGAGAAAGAGAAGCAACATTATGACAATGTGACAATGGTCAGAAGTTGGTAGCAAGAGCAGGTCCAACTATGCTTACAATGGGTTGTGGTAGCTTGTCTAAAAGAGAAAGAGCATTATATGAAGTTCCCATTGAGTACATTACCATTAAAAAATATAGGAAGATCTAGATTGTTACAATAACAACTTGCTGAAAATAATTGAGTTTTATCTGAGTTAAAGTTCAACAAAAGTGAGATCCTTTTAAAGCTCAAATGCCCCCTTCAAGCAATCAGAGAGTGTTGGCTTTTTATCAAGACAAGAATAAATAGTAGTATCATCAGCGAACAATGACACTTTAGATGCGAGAATGCCTGGGATATTGTTGGTGTAAATTAATAAATACCGGATTTGTAAATTAGTAAATACCGGATTCTTACTAATTCAATACAAATATGGATTACCCTTAATTAAATGAAACCTTGGTTATACAGCAGTTATAACTTGGTTATAGCAGCTATATCTAGAAGTTACATCTATGTTAGATTATAACTTTTTTTATTGCTGTTTAACGAATTATTAAAACATTTTTATATTAAAATTTTAAATTGTCTAGTAAATACATTGTGGTGCAATTTAGAAAAAACAAAAAACAAAAGTGTTTTATGTTTTAACCCAAATCATTTTGTTCAATTTTGTTCCAATTGATTATGTTTTAACCCAAATTTTTACCAAAAAAACAGCCAGCTGTTATGAAGCCAGCTGTTATGAAGCCAGCTGTTATGAAGCCAGCTGTTATGAAGCCAGCTGTTATGGAGCCAGCTGTTATGAAGCCAGCTGTTATGAAGCCAGCTGTTATCAATGATACAAGTTTACTTAAGATCAAAAAAAAAAAAAATTTCCAAGTTTTTCACTTACAGATAACAAAATACAAAAAGCAATTTAGTCTATTATTTAAAATTATTCTTTCCTACTGTTTCCTACCTCCATGCACACTTTTGTAAATTGTTCCTACCTCCATGCACACATTATGTAAATTGTTCAAAGAACCATACAACCCCTAGCGTAATGCTGAAATTAAAAGTTTTTAACGATCATAAGAAAACTGTCAACGGATTGTTATAATATGCTTTTATCTAGAGCTGAAAGTAACATTTTTCCTATTGAAGTTTCTCTGGATATTTTTAAGAAGCAGTGTATAAAAGAAAACAAACAAAAAAAAAACTCAAATCAATTTTTAAGACAATAATATTTATGGGTCAAAATGATTTCTCTATGAGGCCATAGAGGCAATAGAAAACATCAAGGAGAAATTAGAGAATCTTCAAAAATTATAGGGCTAGGTAATTTGATTAAGCTTTAAAATTTTATAGTTGATGCAGGTGCATCAATTTTAAAGAAGCATCTTCTCTCTTCTCCTAAAAATTTCACAAAGACTATTCAAAACGAGTTAAATGAGTGTTGTGGAAATGCAGTTGAAGAAATTTTAATAAAAGATATTTAAAAAATATATAACATCCAATTTATACCATGTTGAGTACTTAATCTGTTAAAACAATAATACCTTCAAGGTACAACATACATACCTCCAAGGTACACCACTGGTGGTGTATCTTGGCTGTAGGGTAAGCTATTTTTTTTTAATCAAAAAAAGGGATGAAAAAATATATCTGGATGTTTAATAAAAAATTCTAGAGTAACTAATATCATCAAGTTAAAGAAAATACATTGCTACAGATCATATTGTAAATATTTTTTTATTTATTTGTAAAAGTTTGTAAAAATTCCGAGGTACACCACTCTCCCCTACTAATATTTTGAAGCCTGATGAAACTATTTGTACAATAAAAAGTTGCATTTCCTGTGTTAATATATATATATATATATACATATATATATATATATATATATATATATATATATATATATATATATATATATATATATATATATATATATATATATATATATATATATATATATATGTATATATATATATATGTAAAATTCAATAAAAACGGCTGCGTATAAACTTTTTAAAAAATATATATTTGTTTTTATTTTAATATATTTTTTCGATATTTGGCTGATCTATATCAGCGAAATATCAAAAAAATATCGTTTTTATTGAATTTTACATATTTTATTATTATTGTATAACAAGAAAATGACTTTTAAAGATTATATATATATATATATATATATATATATATATATATATATATATATATATATATATATATATATATATATATATAGTTAGGAAATAAAGAAATAAACCTGTTTCCATTTGCCACACATAAACAGTTCCATCAGAACAACCTACCACCATAAAGTCTTCTTTAACTCTCCATCTAATTGTAACAACTGGAAATGTGTGACGACTAGCTAAAAGAACAACTTTTCTTTCACGCAAACCTACCAAAGCAACTGAATGGTCTTTAGCAACTGAACAGACACACTGTAAAAATCTTGGCTAAAAAAATTACAGTGGTTATAAAAAATGAAATACAAATTTTAAAATATAATAATGAATAATAAAAATTTTAAAATAAAATGATAAATAAAAAATGAAATATATATATATATATATATATATATATATATATATATATATATATATATATATATATATATATGTAGCAGCGTTCCGTTGCGAGTCAGGCTATTTAATAGTCAATGTAGCAGCACTCCCATGCGAGTCAGGCTGTTTGTCAGTCGATGTAGCAGCACTCTAATGCGATTCAGGCTAAAATATAGTTGATGTAGCAACACTCCCTTGTAACAGCAGGCTATAAGATAGTCGATGTAGCAACACTCTGCGCATGTTTTAAAAATATATTTTAATAAAACAACAACAAAACCACCATTAATTAAAAAAAACTTTAAAGTCATTATAATTGCAGTTTTTTTTAAAAACAATATAATTTAATGTACTTCCGCATTAATTTAATTACTTTGACATTTTTGACGACAATAAAATACAGCATTAGAGTCGAGGTAAAAAAATTGTAGTCGAAAGAGACTTTCTTTACCATAAAAGTCTCTTTCGACTACACTATAACGATATATATATATATATATACACATATATACAACCCTCGGAATTAGGAAAAATGAGGTCAGCAATAATTTGCCGACCTCAACCTTTTTGAGGTTGGCATCAGGTCAGGTTTGAAAAGGAAGGATTTGCTCGAAGTACAATATACAATAACCTAAAAACACTATAGAACAACAATTAAAGGCAAAGAAAAAAAGCAGGAAACTAGTTGATCGACTCTATAACACAAAATTGCTTCTGGTCATTGATGACGAAAAATACTTTTGTTTTGCAGGAGACAACATGCCTGAAAATTCTGGATACTACACAAACAACAAAAAAACATGCCCAGAAAGTGTTCATTTTATAGGAAAAAAGAAATTTACAAAAAAATTATTGATTTAGTTAGTCATATCTGACCGCAGTATGTCTGAGCCATTGTTTCGCACTTCCAAATCTGTAACAATTAATTCATTGATCTATATTGATGAATGTTTAGAAAAATGACTTCTTCCATTCATTCACAAGTATCATGGAGACTTTAACTATTTATTTTGGCCAGATTTAGCAAGTTCTCATTATTCTATAGATTCTCTGAATTAGACCAATATGTCTATTACATTGACATTTGGCACAGAAGGTTTACAATGGAGATTGGCAAGCTTCAACAGAGCAAGTTTTGATTGATCGAATTAAATTAAAACTACAAGAAATCAATTTATATTTTTTACAGTTGCTTATGAAAAGCATCAGAGCAAAATTGAGATCAATTGCAGATGGTGATGTTTTTTCATTTAAAAAATAACTTATTTTTATTAAAAGATAAATACTTTATTTAAAAGAAATAATAGTTTGTTTTTTTATTTATAAGTTATTGACACTTTTATTTTGTCCAATAACTTCCGCATCATCCATTAGAAGTGTGATATAACACATCTTTTAATAAAATATTTCCAAATGAAGATAAATCTTGAATATAATTTCAGCAAGACAATACTTCATACCAGACTGCACATCATACGAAGGAATGGTTGGTAAAAAATAAAGTCTAAATTTTAGCCATTTGCCAGCACAGTCGCCAAATTTTGCCAAATTGTTAACACAGTCGCCTGATCTTGAAAATTTATGAGTAATACTTAAAAGAAGGGTCAGGACACACGGCGTCACTTAAAAAAATCATTTGATAGAAGTTATTGCTCTTGAATGGGCTAAAATAACAAAATATGAAAATATTATTAAATTGTTTATAAAACAAATACTTAAGTAATTTTAAACATTTTTTTCAAATTACTTAAGTAACTTAAGTGATTTTAAGTAATTTTAGTTATTTTCAAAACATAAACTTTACATACATTTTTGTGTTATAGTACTATATAAGTAACGAAGCCAAAGAAAATATAACTAAATTTTTTAATTTGAACGCAAAAAAATTGTATCAATTTATCACTCTTAGATGTTCTCAACTTAGTAATAAAAAGTCCAACAGCACTAAAGCATCTTTCTGCAACAACTGATGATGGTAAAGTCATTACAACTTTAAAGAATAGAACAATTTTTTTAGCATTTTTTGGACAGCCATTTGATCTTTCTAATACAGCCATTTCTTTTTTATACAGTCCAAAACATTAAAGAAAGCCTTGTTCATCACTAAATTTGAATTTTGGGCTAGGAAATAATGAAGCTCTTAAGCCTTACTCTTTTTTTCAAAGGTTCTTCAATTTCAACATTAGAGGCTTCACATTTAACTGATGGTTTAGGATCTTTATGGTCATAAAAAAAGACAATATCTCTTGCTATGATAAGAAGTTTTTTTTCTTAGGATATTTGAAAACAAAATCTTTTAACCAAATCAGTAAGATCAATCTTTTTTTCATCTTTGGTTAAAAGATTTTTAGAAGATTCTAGAAAAAAGATTACTGATTTGGTGCCTCTAAATATCTTAATAGTCCTGCAATTGAACTGAGTTATCTGACATGCGTAAGTTTAAGCAAATACATCTTTGATTACTTTTGGAAGTCCATTCATCTAAAGTCAATGAAAATCACCATTCATTCTAGAGTCAATAATCACCATTCTCAATCATTTTTGCAAACCATAAACCATCAAATTAGTCATGGCACAGTGGTAAGAGTGCTTGCTTTAGAAGCAAAACATCCCTGGTTCAATGCTAGTTCTGGGCATATTTCCCAACATCGGTAAGGAAGGAGGAGTGAACTTCCAATTTAAATGTTCTTGCTAAAATAATAAAACTTCATTTTTCATAAAGAAAAATATGCTAGCTAAAAATCCATTCTTTTTTTGTTTGAAAAACAATTCATAGAAACATTTAGTTTTGACTTTATTTATAGATACCATTTTTGGGTAATATCAGCATGCTTAAATTATACAGTTTTTTTTTCCTTTAAATTACCTCGTTTAAAGTTTTATAATTGCAGTGGTTTTAGAATAAAATGTTATTAAAAAGAAAAAGAGAAAGCTAATGACAACATTTTTTTAACTATCTAATTTTTTTTTTTTAAATATTTATTATTACTTTTTTAACATGTTAAATATATTAATTTAATATTAAAATATTTAAATTGTTTTTATATTTAAAAAAAAATCAACAATTAAAATAATCACAATAAAAATTTGGTCCTGAAAAAATTCAAAACCACAACAACAACAAAGAAATTCAGTCACAACAAAAAAAGTAATAAAAAAAATTACATTACAATCAGGAGGTGTCACCATAAGTTTCAAAATTTCACCTCCATGACAATGAAATATAGTTATTAATGATCCATTAACCAAATCCCAACCTCGAACAGTAAAATCAGCACCTCCAGACATTAGTAAAGATCGATCATAGCGTGGATTTTCATCATGAGGATAAAGTAAACTTGTAACTTGCCCAACATGTCCATGGAGAATTATGTATGGTGGATAACCTATATATATACATATATATATATATATAATATATATATATATATATATATATATATATATATATATATATATATATATAAATATATGTATATATTGTATATATATGTCTAACCTATATATATATATATATATATATATATATATATATATATATATATATATATGTATATATTGTATATATATGTTTAACCTATATATATATATATATATATATATATATATATATATATATATATATATATATATATATATATATATATATATATATATATATATATATATAAATATATATATATATAAATATATATATATATATTATATATATATATATATATATATATATATATATATCAGAGGCGGACTGGCCATATGGGCGTACCGGGACAATGCCCGGTGGGCCGGTACAAAAGTGGGCCGATAGGCTGGTAAAAAAATTAGGATGATTAATCAAAAAATTCAAATGAAACTAATATAATACATATTTGAATTTAATGTATGTTCTTTACAAAGAATTATTTGTAAAATTAGTGACGTACGTATTTTTTAATCCTACATTAAGTGTAATGCATAATACATACATGCATATATACATACATATATAACATATATACATGCATAACATATATACATATATAACATATATACATATGGTACAAAAATGCAAAAACCAAAAAAAATGAAAACGCAAATAAAAATACTAATCAAATTCAAAGACCATTGGCAATAGGAAAACACGAAATCTAATCCAAAAAAAATAATTAACAAATCACTATAGAGTCTTCAATAAACCGAAACGCTGTCATAGATACCAATTTCGAATTATGCTAACCAATCAAAATTGTAAGAAGATGAAAACCCTGCGCAATTTAAATTTATCTTGAAAATCAATAATATAAGCATAGGAAAATAATATCGTTTAAAAACTATATATAATAATAGAGTTTTAAAATTAATGAACCCAAAAAAAGAAAAGGAGGAGCTCAAAAATTACGAGAGAAAAACCAAAAATTGATGAAATTATCAGCTAACAAATGTCTTAAAATAAGCGATTTCATTCCCAACAGAAATCCTGATATAAGTAAAGCTGATGAAAAAGTGAAAACAAAAATGAAAAAATGATGTACAGATCCAAATTAATTCCAATAATAACACAACGTCAACGACTGGAAACGAATCTGAAGATATTACAGCAACTAATGAAGTACTAAATAGTGACGATGTAGCAGTTAAAAATTTGTCAGAATGTACACAAAATGAGATTCAAGTTCAGATCGATTCAAACATTAGCATCGCAGAAACCATCAGCCATCATCCTGCTTGTGATAGTGATATGGATGTTGATCAAGGTGTAATTATTGTAGAACAAAATATTGACTGGTTTTCTTGTCCACCATCAACACTTCTCAATAAATTTTTTTAAATCCATCCAATTCAAACTACCAGAGATCCTATTATTGTGAAATCTTTTGTACGGAAAAATGGAACGAATCGTAAATGGTTATCTTACTTTGAAGGCAACGATGCATTATATTGTTCAATATGTTTAGCATTTTTACCAACTTTTGTAATGAGTTCTTTTGTTAGTGGAATGACAGATAGAAGACACATTAATCAAAGAGTTGATGAACATGAAAAATCAGCATCGCATAACGAATGCACAGAAAACTATTTCCAACATGTATCTAGATCCAACGTCTCAAATTTACTGTTTTCTACTCAAATTTCTGTACGTCGAGTTCAATGCAACTATTTAACATTTAAATAGTTGCATTGAACAGAGTGAAAAACGGAAGAACACAGGAAGTACTGGAAGAGGTTCCATGGTTTACTTTTCTTTCAAAAACCACAACAACAAAACTCATTCAAATTAGGAGTCGTTCCATACAGAAAATCATTGCAAAAGAAATTAACTCAGCTGGTATGCTTTCAGTTCAAATTGATACAACAGAAGATATAACAACTAAAAATCAATGCTCAATAGTTGTGAGGTATGTAACTGATCAGATTCACGAAAGATTATTAACTATGATTGCGTGCGAGTTTAGTATCTGAAACTTTAAAGGCATTGAACATTGATATTTTAAAGTGTGTTGGTAATTCAACAGATGGAGATGCAAACATGAATGGTGAGTATAACGGTTTTGCAGCATGGATGTTCAGAAGTTTTTCAATTTTAAAGTTCATCAAAAATCGTTTGCGTAGTAGTATGGCTCAAAAAAATTTACAATCATTCATGCTCGTGAATACTGAAAAAGAAATTCTAAGCAATCTTGATCCCGAAACAATAATTGACGAGCTAGCTGAAACAAGTGATCTGTTTAAAAATCTTTTAGTTGTTTGAAAATTCTTAATTCGTTGAATATTTAAAATAAACATAATTGTTCTTAAAAAATTTGTTTAAAAATTTCATAGTTAAATTATAAAAAAAATAGTTAATTAATTTTCCTCTAATGTGGGCCGGTCCAATATGAAATGCCCGGGCTGATTTTTAGTCCCAGTCCGCCACTGATATATATATATATATATATATATATATATATATATACATACATATATATATACATACATACATATATATATATATATATATATATATATATATATATATATATATATATATATATATATATATATATATATATATGTATATATATATATATGCATATATATATATACACATAAATGTATATATGTATGTATGTATGTATGTATGTATGTATGTATGTATGTATGTATGTATGTATGTATGTATGTATGTATGTATGTATGTATGTATGTATGTATGTATGTATCTATATCTATATCTATATATATATCTATATCTATATATATATATCTATATATATATATATATATATATATATATATATATATATATATATATATATATATATATATATATATATATATATATATATATATATATACTTATATATACTTATACATATAAATTATGTTAATGTATTCTACAAATAGAGTGCTCAATGTTCTTAAAGAACAGAGTAATAATAAATTAGTAAAAACATTTATCTAAAAAGCAAAATTAAAAAGAATGCTACAAAAAATGACAAAAAAAAAAAAAGGTAAAAAAATTTGAGCTGTATACCAAAAACTTGAAAGCATAAGCAATTTTAAAACAATTCCTTCATTTGATTCTTTTATAAATGTATTGTGAAGTTCAGTTAATATAAACCGCTGGTAAACCAGTGGTTAAACTAATGAGTTAAATTGTAGAGGTTTATATATCATATATACTTTAAAGTAATTGCATTTGATTTTTTTTTTAAATATATTACTTTAATTAAGGCATTTTGATTTTTTTGTTAAATTATTTTATAGATAAGAAACAAAGTTAAAACTGTTTTATAGATAAGAAACAAAGATTCAATATTATGTTTTTGTTTTTATTAACAAATAATATCTTTGTTATATGTAGAATTGCAGGGTTTTTTTTTTTGATTTTTACATTAATTCTACATTAATTCTACATTAATTCTCTTTTTAGATTAATTTGTCATCCAAATGTAATAAATGCTGCTTGGCAAGAAGAAATTAATTTATACCTAAATTAAAACATAGTTAGGCAAGTTGAAAGTAATTATCACATAAATGAAAAAGCCTAGGCGAGATAATCAACCTCAAAACCTATAAAATGCAGCTAGAAAAGGAAGAATGTATTGTATAGCAAGAAGTAATACTATCCTAGATTATAATTATGTAGGAAAAGTAAACCAGATCTGTCAGCATTGTTGTGCTAAAGAATTTCTTGATGAAACACATTTTTTATGTTGCTATAATGGGAAGGTAGTTTTGCTTCCATTTTCACTATTTCCCCAAGCTTTACAAGATTTACAGGAAGTTATATATATCGTAATTCCAATATCATTTTTTTTAAATATATTAAAATTTATAATGTCTTTATTTACTGATAATGTGGTTTAACCTATGAATCATAGGCCACCATGTGTTTAAAATATGTGGTCAAGTTCTTCATTATATAGGTAATCTTAAGTGAGATCAAGATATTCCTCCAACATTATCAACTGTATATCTCTGACCACTTTGCAGCAGTAAATTTTAGAAAGCAATAACATTAACTTTGCTTACATAATTTAATGTTTTATTTGTAAACTTTGCTAGTGAAATTGCAATTGTATTCATTGGAAAAGATGGTGCACCACCTGCTTCCAGGGAAGTTATTTACCCAATAGGTCATTTAGAAGTTATATTGAGTATGTCAGCTAACTTAGATCCTATGGTTCATTCACTTTTTTTTTTCCAAGACATAATTGGTGCACAACCCTAAACATGTAACATTGGTTAGAAATTATGTTAAATTATCTCAGTTTTACAATTATGGACCTTCAGTAAGACAAAAAAAAACTTTGTTCAATAATTTATGACAACAAACTATTTTAGCAATATGCTGCTGGTGAATATATTAAAATTGAAGAGCAGTGTTTTGCTTTCATAGAAATAACCAAAGCAAACCGAGAAGCATGCAATATGATGTCTTACAAGAAGATGTAAGCAATCTTGTTGACAATCATAATGTTAGACCAGGGTGGGTAATAGTTTTCTAATTATTTGGAAGTCTTTAAAAAAACTTTGAAAATGCTGAGTATAACTAAAAATTAAAAAGTAAAAGTAATAAAAGGATCTGGTAAACCAAATTTTTATACTACTTATGCCCCAATATAGTGGTATGTGGTGAAAAAAAGTACACAAATTTAATTTGAAATGTTGTTAATTGATAGTTTATGATAAATATGTTTTTATGTGTAATAAAGTAAATGTTAATAGTTTATAAAATACAACATGTTCAAAGTTTATATATGTTTATATTCTGTTTTTTTTTTTTTTTATGTTTTAAAAGCGGTGTTACTTAGCAGTGTGTAAAGCAAGATTATTATCCTTGCAAGTCAAGAGATGTTACTAAGTTGTGGTACTACTAATTTTTGTAAAAAGTAACTCAAAAAAATTACTTAAATAATAACGA